GGGGTAATGTAGGCATACCGCAATTGCAAATGGAGCCCGGGATTTGAATTTCCGGGGCTTCATTTGCATAAGCCGGGTGCCACCATTTTAAAATCCCGGCTGGTTCAAACCCCGTGCCGCGCGGCTACACGTGGCACAAACTAGGTAGTTCGAACTAGGAAGCCTAGTTCGAACTACCTAGTTCGTGCCGTGTGTAGCCGCGTGGCACGGGGTTCGAACCAGCCAGGATTTAAAAATGGCGGCGCCTGGCTTATGCAAATGAAGCCCGGGAAATTCAAATCCGGGGCTTCATTTGCAATTGCGGTATGCCTACATTACCCCGCTAGTTCGAAATAGGAGGGTAGTGTAGACATACCCACACTGAACAGCCCTAGGGAATCCCCCCTCTTGCCCGACTCATTGAGTCTCTGGCCCAAGTAAACCAGCTCTGGGGAACAGACTGCCCCCTCTGCAATCTTGTTTAATTGTAGAACAACATCAGGCTAGTGACTGTGAATTGCCGCAGTGAGACATTGAGGTGACAGAGGCCCCACTTTGAGTGCCTCCTCTCCACGTGCCCTCATGCCCTCCCGCTCTGGCACTCGGAGCTAACCCCATGCCAGCTGTCAGCGTCCTCTCCGCCACCAGTGACCACATCACAGCTCCCCTTCCCATGACACCCCTTCCTGTGTGGCAAACAAATGGACCTCTCCTTCAGGCTGCCACACAAGCATGGACCTCTGAGTGCAGCATCCCACCCCTCTCCCCCACCTACCCTTTCGCCCCCTTCCACAGCTATCCATGGCCTGGCTCTGTTTCCTCCTCTCCCCTCCATCCACCTACTATCACTTTTTGCTTAAACACCATTCCTTTTTCTGAGTTCATTGCATCAGCATTTCCTAGTGGGAAACTTTCTTCCAAAAATGTTGTACCATCTGTATTTATGAGTGATGCTGTCCCACCAAATGCCAACTGGGCCAGATTAAGGGTTAGCCGGGCAGCTGCCCAGGGCACCAACCTATGGGGGGTGCCTGATGACAGCTGTAAAGGGTACCACGCACCTGGCCACACGGCGCCCTTAGAGCTGACATCAGGTGCCGCATGCCCGGGGCTGGAGGCCATGCAGCATCTCTTAAAGTTGCAATCAGGCA